CTCATATCATTGTGGGAAAATTCTACTACCAGTCCTTGATCACCTTACACGAAATAGGGTGAATACATCTTATTACACAGATTTACTGGTAGTCTCGAAACCCTACTCACATACGAATACTTATTTCAACCCACTTCAAATGTGAACTTTTGAGCCAAGTAAGTTAGACCTACTCAGACAGTTGGTGAAATGATCGACTTCGCTTACCTGTTTTGACAAGTTGAGGCTGAGTTTGGTGTTGATAATGGCAAGAAATCCTGGAATGTACCAAGTCCACTCGAGTAATTACGCTAACTACGATATCAGAGGACTTCGGGCTAGGTTTGTCCAACTAAGTCCCTCTGACAACACGACCAAGTTACGAAAACGAGGTCAGACTGCTTCTTTGCATCGAAAGGAGGCTTCGATCAAAATAGAGGCAACAATATCTTGGTCTTCATAATTACTAACTCTGTATTAAATTCTCTGTACTGAAGGCAATTTGATGAAACTCAAACGCAATAAGTTAAGATTTCTTTTCTCGTATTCATGTTGCCTCTAATGATCTACTGTCAATACTACTCATCATGAACATAGACTTTCCTATGATTTTAAATTCTCCGTTTGCTGTCATAGTTTATATTTCATCTTGGCCAGGCTAAATCAACTTGAGGTGGCTGGACAACCCCCGCACATCTGCGAGTAGCAGTCATTTGGCTCCTCTGTCCTTGCGACCACTTTGGGTCAGCGATGAAAGCTGGGCACAAAGGAGGGAAGGCCAGGCGATGGGGTGATTATGAAATTGATACAATTCACTCACTCCTGATTGATATCGAGGCTGAATAATAATTGGCTTCTTTCCCTTTCGCTTTTAACCGTTCTCGTGATTGCACTACTTCCTGTCTTCCTCTGCGTTCCTTTGTACTCGTACATGCACATGCACATGCACACACTCAAGCAGACACACAAGGACAGGTACATATAGGGGCGCATAGTTTGCCCTACCTACTAGTTAATTACATCCGCTCTTATTCAGTGTCGGCCAGCGCCCCAGCTCTTGTGTGGATTTCACAAATCTGGCATTCAGGCCTCCCCTATTATTTATTGTCGGTAAGATTAGTTTTCGAGACTATCATTACTTCTTGAATGAGATCTTAGTCAGTTAGACGGTTGAAGATTATGTAAAGACGCATACGAGTTGTTTGACCTTTTTTTCGCAAATTGGTCATATTGTCAGTGAGACCTAGAGAAACTCATTTCGTCCGGATTCCATAACATTCATGATAATTTCCAGAGTCATCCAATGGACTGGGTACATTTCCAGACGCTTGGCCTGATCCTTGCCATTCGTGGCGTCAAGATGCAACTCGTCAAAGAGACAAGTGAAATCGATCTTTTGAGAAATTGTCTGCTAAAAAATTGTGGTATCTCTTCTTCTGTCTTGGGCTAATCACCTATCCTATATTCTCGTATCACTCCTTCAATATAACACTTTCTTACTTGCCTATTTTAGCCTAGTCCAGTTGTATTTTGAGCTGATTTGTTCTGCAAATCTCTTTCCTCCATCTCCTATCAGAGTCTCCCTCTTGCTCCGTAGGATATGTCTCAGCTGCCTGACTCAGTGATCTCTCTAGATCACTACTAACAGATTATGTTCCGCACTCTGCCTCAAGCCTTTCATAGCACATATACGCCAGCCTCGCTGAGCAAGCACTCAAAGTATGAATTCTCAGATGGGATGCAAAACGAACACTGCAGACTCCCTTACGTCGCGGATAACATCTACGATCAAGCCTGTTTGTTGTCAGCCGACTATCGCTGGTCTCCACCACATCTTTTGCGCTTCTCAATTGTTGGGATTACTTCCATTTCGAGTGGAAGTGTTGGGTGAAGAGATTCGAAGGTCAGTTCCACCAGAAGACAACGGCGGATTCCTCTTGACCAGCTGTCGATTG